GTCTGATTCCTAGCTCCTTGATCCATTTTGAGTTGACTTTTGTGCATGGTGAGAGAAAGGGATTCAATTTCATTTTGTTGCATATGGATTTCTAGTTCTCCCAGCTCCATTTGTTGAAGATGCATAGCCCAGATCTTAAGTTTTAAAATCGAATTCCACCCTGAGTAGGTTGATGAAATCTTGAACCAACCTATAACTGTCCTGCTCCACTCACCCTAGGACATGAATCTTATCTGTCAGCATATACTTGCAGTACACATTACCTGTTCCTTGGCCCTATGTAGCTAGGTGGATTACAAGACCTACTACAGCAGGATCATAGTGCTTATGTTCAAGTAACTCTTATTTTACTTGCTAATGGTCACAAAGCACGAGGGAACAAATTGCTGAMAATTTGGAAATGCCAAAGGGAAGCCTTAAAATGCTTCTTTAGAACAAAATCTTTACCAAATGCACCTCTGATAAAGCATCCTCCCCAAAAGCATTAATCTCTTGGATAAAGAACTCAAAAAACTTAACATCAAAAAAAAAACCAATCCAATCAATATAGTCCTTACCTGAACAGACACTTCACAGAAGAAGAAATACAATCAATCAACAAATATATGAAAAAGTGTTCAACATCTCTAGCAATTAGAGAGATGCAAATCAAAACTACTCTAAGATTTCATCTCACTCCTGTCAGAATGGCAATCATCAAGAATACAGGCATCAGTAAATGTTGGCGAGGATATGGAAAAAAAGGTACACTCATACATTGCTGGTGGGACTGCAAATTGGTGCAACCACTATGGATACAATTTTTCAAACAATCTAATGAAGTGCGCTCAAAATATTAAATGTATACACACCCTTTGGCTCACTTCTATGAACTGATCCCAAGAAAATCATTCTCTACAAGTGAAAGTGCTGCATAAATTAGGATATTCACTGGCCATTGTTCACACTACTAAAAAATTAGTTCAATAGACTAATTAAGGCATATACTGAAATATAATGCAACCATGGAATTATAATCCATATTTACTAAAATGGGAAGATGTCCACATTCTGTCAAGTTGGGGAATGAGATGCCGAATGGCAGAGGCAATCTTGTTTATATCTACTTTTCCATTTACCAGAACCTCTTCTATTCATTCCCCATGGCCTCCTGGAATTCTCCCTCATTTTATCTGGGTTTTCAAACATTTCCTCCACAGAGGGGCCTTAGGAGACCACCAGCCTCAGCAACTTCAAGAGGCGCTAAGCAACTCAGTGAGACCCTGTCTCTAAATAAAATACAAAATAGGGCTGGGGATGTCGCTCAGTGGTTGAGTGCCCACTGCCTCCCCAGTACCAAAAAAAAAAAAAAAATTCCATCTTTTGTATAAGAAGAGTTAACAACACTTCTGTTAAAAATGATTTTACTACAAAAATTTTTTAAAGGCAGAAATAAAAAACTACACCATTTATTAACTGCTAATGTATTCCCATATGAGACTATGCCTACCTCTAAGCTATCATCAGGTTGTTTATTTTCTGTTCACACTATTTATTAAATAAAATTGGGATCATCTCCCTCCCCCAACCCCCGCCCATGGTTCCATCAACTCATTCTTTTTAAATGCTTCAAAATTTAAGCATTTGCCTAGTAATGGCTATTTAGAGTTTTCTCAATTTTTGGCTATCATAATGCTAAAATGACTGTGAACACATAGCCTTACATACTGAACCTACAAGATTTCCAAAACAGGATTAATTGAAAGGGATGGATTTTTCAATTTCTTTAGTTACTGAACAGATACCAAGATATCTTGCTTATGAAAATTATGTGAGGTATAAAACATAACAATGTAATGATCACCAGTGAAACCATAGTCGTATTTGAAGCTTCCCATATGTCCCACCCTGATTCCATGGCAGGGATGTTTTATGAGAGCTATCATTTATCAATCCTTTTGTTTCTGTTTGTTGAAGAAAATGAACATGATTGCTTTTTAAAAAACAGTATCTTCTCACAGGCTATTTGTATCAGTATCTTACTGGCTATTTGTACTCCTTTTTCTATAAATTGCTTATTTTTTTTGTCCAGTCTATGAACTTCCAAGTCAACCTAATTTTGGTATCTGATCTATAGAAATTCTTTGCACATTAGTGACATCAGCCCATACTATTACTCATGTCACAAATAGTACCATGTCTTTGCCATATAATGAAGTTTTATATTTTTATGTAAATATTTTTCCTTTCTGGCCTTTTGAGTTAATGATATTTTCTGCAACACTAGTTAGAATTTTCCTATATATTCTTTAGAACTTTTTACATTTAAATATTTTATCAGTGTAGACTTTAGTGTATGGTGGGGATGGGGCTAGTGCTGAGGTGGTAGGACCTTCATCAGTGGTGAAATCATAAGAATTCTTCAAAAATGGATTAATGTTGTCTTTATACGAATGGGTTCCTTACAGTGAGCGTGGGTCTGTTATAAAGATAAATTAAACTCTCTTGCTCTCTCTCACCCTCTCTGACCTTCTGCTAGGGGATGACGCAGGAAGAAGACCCTTACCAGATGTAGTCCCCAAATCTTAGACTTCTTGCATCCAGAACTATAAGCCAAATAAACTTCTATTGTTTATAAATTATCAAGTCTGTGTTAATCTGTTAGAGCAGCACAAAATGTATTAAAAGAGGACTCTGACTTTATTTTCTTCCAAATACATAACCAGTTGTCCCAGTAGTGTTTACTGAATAATTCAACCTTTCTCCACTGATGTAATGACTTTGTTCTATACCAAACCTTCACATTTATACGTRTATGCATGCGTCTGTGTGTGGATACAGACATATGTATTGTGTACATGCATGTACATAAAGCTACTTCAGAATTCATTTTCTCCCACTGCTATCTAACCTGGATGACACAGTACAACTAGGTAGACAGAAATCACTCACCTGTCCTTCTTCATCAAAAGCCATAATCACCACAGCAGCTCCAAACTTCTTAATTTTCCTGGCCTTCTCCAAGAAGTCCTCCTCTCCCTCCTTCAAACTAATGCTGTTGACGATGCACTTTCCCTGGCAGCACTTTAACCCAGCTTCAATCACAGCAAAATTGGAAGAGTCAATGCACAAGGGCACCTAAGAGAAAGGCAAGAAAATAATCATAATGTGTGGAAAAGACAGACAGGATTTTAGTATATTTGTTCTTAAAGCCCAACATTCTTGGAGTAATTTCAACATACAAGAGACTACATGCATGAGCCAGGACTTTCTAATTCAAAGACCAGAATGGAATCAGTAAGATCATTTTCCTGGTTTCAGCCCTAGTTCACACTTTCAAGTGCCTTAACCCTGAGGCAAATACCTCAAGTGAGATTCAGACATCCCTGGTTGAACTGAGGGATTAAGGTTTAGCCTCATGCCCTTTGGAAATAGCCTTCTAGCCAAGTTATTCGATTTCAGTTTTCCCTTTAGATAATCAAGTTCCTCAGTGAGGAGAAAATGAGTTTTAACATTAGAAAGTAAAAGTAGATCCAATACTCAACAAATGTATTTAACTAAAATAAAGGACAATAGTGAAATGTGCAAAGAACAGGTTTCTTTCTCATTAGTGCCTCTGTAACAAGGGAAGTGAATGGAGGCTTCGAGTAAGGGTTCCATTGGTACAAAAAAATGAAACATGGGGACTACTCTAGGCCCCATTGTGTAAGTAAGTCATTCAATAAATAATTTTAAGTGACCACTATGTCAGATCCCACACAATGTTAAGACACACAGGTCCTTGGCTTCACCAAGGCTATAAAGATAAATGATTAAACAGTAATTTCTTAAGAGCAGTAAATGCTACAACAAAGAAGCACAAAGTACTTTGAAAGGGTATTTCAAGGGAACCAATCTGTCTGAGGCAGTAGGAACGAAGAGGGAGAATTCAAAGAACATGTTTCAACAGAGTTGTAAGAAATTCCCTAAATCACACCTCCAAAGACAACAGGAAAAAAACAAGCACTCTGCCAATTTTCTCTTTCTTAGCATGCAAGTAATGTGGGGTTTCCTAGGAAAAGGGTCAAATGCAATGAAATACCAGACCAATGTTTTAAGGAATTCAGTGACAGCATAGTGTCCCGACCCTTCTGGTGAAAACATGCTACTAGAGCATTTGTATGCTATACTATAACTGACCAAAACTTGGTCTCCAATAAATTTTAGTAGTAGGTCAAAAACAAGAAAAGAGAAAATTACCATAATGATTGGGGCACTAAGTAACAGTCTCTTAAGTCATGAGAGTCCTTCACAGCTGACAAGACACTGTCATCATTATAATTCACAGACCAGACAGAGCAGGTGAGACAGCCCACTTATGGAAACCAGGGCCAATCACAGCTCATGGGGTGCCTGGACCCTGAGGGCATCCAGCTTTCCTGCCACTAGTAAGCAGATAAGCCACTGGCTCCACCTCTGAGTCTGACTGACTTTCAACAGGCCCCTGAGTTTCTTTGCTCCTTAAATTCTCAAAAGGTCTATTAAACCCAGAAAAGTGGAGAAACTTTTTAGTAAGGGTTTTTTTTTGGTTTGTTTGTTTTGGGTACTGGGGATTGATCTCAGGGCCCCTCAACCTCTCAGCCACATCCCCAGCCCTATTTTGTATTTTATTTAGAGACAAGGTCTCACTGAGTAGTTAAGGGCCTTATTAAGTTGCTGAAGCTAGCTCTGAACTTGTGATCCTCCCGTCTCAGCCTCCCAAATTGCTGGGATTACAGGTGTGTGCCACCCCACTCAGCCTAGTAAGGAGTTTTTGTTTCTGTTGTTGTTTTTTTTTTTTTTTTTTTTTTTGGTGGTACTGGGGGTTGAACCCTAGGGGTACTCTACCACTGAATTATATCCCAACATTTTTATTATTTGAGATAGGGTCTCATTAAATTGCCAGGGCTGGACTCAAAACTTGACACTCCTGCCTCAGCCAGAGTTACTGGATTATAAACAGGTGCCATGGCACYCAGCTCATTTTTTAGGTTTTATTTTTATTTACTTTTGGTATTGGGGAATGAACCCAGGGGCACCAAACTACAACCCCAGCCTTTTTTTATATTAAGAGAGCCTCACTAAGTTGCTGAGGCTAGCCTTGAACTTGTAATCCTTCTGCCTCAGGCTCCTGAGCTGCTGGGATTATAGGTGTGCACCACTGTGCCCAGTATATCATCCAGTTCTTTAGAAGGAGTTTTAATATACAAATTAAAGATTGTAATTCAATGCTTGCCACAAGACTTATAACCTAAACATTTGCTGAAGTAAAAAAAAAAAAAATTACAGCAGTCCAACCTGAAATTTTTTTTCCTTTTCTTTTTTTGGTACTGGGAATTAACCCCAAGGATTCTTCACCAATGAGCCACATCCCTCAATACTTTTTATTTTGACACAGGATCTTACAAGTTGCTGAGGCTGACCTTGAACTTAGGATCCTCCTGCCCCAGCCTCCCAMGTCAATGGGATTACAGGCATCCCCAAAACACACAATTCTAAAAGCACCAGGAAGTGAATAGGGGTATAGCTCTGTGGTTGAGTTCTGGGCTAAATTCCCAGCACCAAAAAACAAATCAAAACAAAATAAAAGCACAGAAGATTTCTTTTACAAAATAACTTCAAAAATCACTTCTCATCACAGACTTAATAGCAGAGAAATTAGATAAGATTTTTAGTTTTTAGAACCCCTCTAAAGTTTTTTAAAAGACTGATGCTAAAATTAACACTCACTTTTTTTTTTTTTGGAAGCTGGGGTGGGGGACAGGTACTGGAAGTTTAACCCAGAGGAGTTTTACCACTGAGTATCCCCAGCTCTTTTTATTTCTGATTTTGCAACAGGGTCTCACTAAGTTGTTTAGGGCCTTGCCAATTTGCTAAAGCTGGCCTTGAAGCTACAACTCTCCTGCCTCAGCCTCATGCATTGGATTACAGGTGTGAATCATCATAAAGATCTTAATTTTAACCTTTTAAAGAACACMTGTAAAGGCTGATATAATCCCTTGATTAACTACTTTTATACTTTTGTTTTAATCTGATAGGCCTAACAAGGTCTCTTCCTGATAAGGAGCACTTATTGAACTCAAATGGCAAGCAGGGAACAAATGATGTGGCAGGAATGGGTGGGAACATCCTTCCAAGATTCAGAAAGTGGGTCCTAGGTTCGCCCAGAAATCTAATACTCATCAGTTCTCAAGACCAATCCCAGAAGCCTAGGGAATAGCCAAGCTAAAACCATATCTCTCTCCAAAATCTGGCTTAAGCTGGACATGGTGGTGCAAGCTTACAATTCTAGCAGCTCAAATGGCTGAGGCAGGAATATCACAAGTTCAAGGCCAGCCGAAGCAACTGAGCAAAGCCTTAAGCAACTTAGTGAGACTTTGTCTCAAAATAAAAAAATAAAAAGGGCTGGAGATGTGGCTCAATGATAAAGCACCCCTGGGTTCAATCCCAAGTACAGTAAAGAAAAAAAATCTGGTTTGTGTCAAAAAGGTTACTGTTAGTCAAGAAAGCTGACAATCAATCSGGATGCTGAGGCAGGAGAATTATGAGTTCAAAGCCAGTTTTAGCAACTTAGCAAGGCACCAAGCAACTCACTGAGACACTGTCTCTAAATAAAATACAAAAAGGGCGGGGGATGTGGCTCAATGATTACGTGCCCTGAGTTCAATCACTGATACCAAAAAAAAAAAGAAAGGAAGCTGACAACCAGAAACCACTGTGCTTTAAATGTGGGAAAATAGAAAAACAGATCATAAGTAGACAGATCAAGGGGACAACTGGCAAAGCTAAGTGAAAAATGACACAGTGAGTCAACCAAAACCTCTCAAATACAAACTTTGCACAACCTTGGCAATGTCGGGCTCAGAAGCGATCAAGTTGCAAAATCTAGTCATTGCACTGGGACCATCTAGCATGCCATCATCCATGTTGATATCCAGCACCTGGGCTCCCATTTCCACTTGCAATTTGGCAATACTCAGGGCTTCCTGAGGAGGAATGCAAAAGGAAGCATTATTACGAGAGTGACTCAGAGAATGCTAACAAAAGTGATCCCCCACCATCCCCCAAGTATCTTTTCCAACCACTCTAGATTAACCAGCCTGGTTCCCTGTCCTCCTCTCTAACTCTCTCCACAGATGAACCTTTCTCACAGGCCTCTTCCTTCATATTACCTCACTAAGAATCCACCAAAGCTGTTTTCCCACTATAAAAAATATAAAATCCTCAGCTTGTGGTCAAGGCCCTCTAAGCTAGCCATGCCTTTTTACTCTGCCAACACAATCCCCTTTTCTTCTACATTTGTTTAGAACCAGCTTAAGCTCCATTTCCTTTAAGAAAGATACTAGGAGAAATCATCCAAAACTCACGTCACTCTTCAGTATTTGCCAAAACATGCAAAGTATTAATAGGAGGCTGTTATTTAGAGTTGCATGAAAAAAACTATAAGTGTATTTCAGCATGTTTTTATACTGAAATGCTTATCAAATACTTTCGTATATGAGTAAACATTACACYCTCCAATAAAAGAATATGATGTGCAGAATTTCCCACTAATGATCATTTAAGGAGTATCTTGCAGGATCAATGTTCCAAAGAACACACTCTGGGAAACACTGCTCACTCCACAATGACCTGTGGTCTCTCAATACCATCATCATGTGGTTTATTACATTATCATTTCCTCCTGCCTTCACAAGTACTAGTTTAAGTTTTCATATAATTTGAAGCCTCTGGAAACCAAGAAAGGCCTTATATATCTCCTCCTGAAATGGACTGAGACTTTTTTGTTGTTATTTAAATCTTCATTGTACATGTCACAGTGTGATAAAATAAGGAGAAAAATTAATAGTAGATACTGATATTGTCCTGATTTTCCTAAGTCCAAGAAAATAAAATAGGAATTTTAACCAGTCTCTGTGCAGAATAGGCACATGCCTCTGGCACATGCCACAATGAAATGCCATTCACAGCAAAGCAAGGCAGCACAGAGAAAAAKGATCACCAATCCATTTGGCAAATCATAAAATATTTTTCAGTATCAGTAATGATTTAAATAGTATAAAGAATAAGAAGTATAGTTGACAATCCCCATTCTAGAAGGAGTTACATCTAGAAGGAGTTAGTTGAGAGTATGTGACACAGTCACATAAAAACCTACCAGGCACTGCCATACAGTGTAGGAAAGTACAAGTTCCCTATGGACTGAACCGAGGAAACCATCTGAGAGGGGAAGTCCTCCACTGGCCACTGGGGGATRGATTGGAGGAGACAGAAGGTAAGTGACAGAGGTCAAAAGACCTGGAAAACAGAGATGCCAATACCTCACCCATCTACTTCATCGATCACAGAATAACCACCTGAAGGTCCAACCCTCCCATGCGAGCTCAGAGAGAAAAAGTGGTTTGTTTATAAATAAGCCTAAGTTGATCAAGCCAGGACTGAAACTCCTCTTAGGTCAGTGCTTTCTCCACTAAGCCAAAGAGCCTTGAGGGATCACTGAGTCCTGGAAAACTAGACTCTAATAGGCAATCGTGCCACCCATCATCTCCTGCTTTTACTGCATCCCTCTCCTCTTTCCACTATGCAGAGTGGTGAAGGGACTGGGCTCAATGGACTGGGTTCCACCACTTACTTGCTGCGAAACAACAGGCAAGTAATTTAATCTCTCTCAAAGTCTCTGTTTCCGTAACTAAAAGATAGGAATAACAGCAGTGCTCATTCATGGAGCTATGAAGAGTAAACACGCAATGATAGAAAACATTTAGCACACAGACTGGCACAAAGAAAAACTTTATTTAAAAATGTATTATTAAGCCAAACACAGTGGCACACGCCTGTAATCCCAGCGGCTTGGGAGGCTAAGGCCGGAGGATCACAAGTTCAAAGCCAGCCTCAGCAATGGTGAGGTGCTAAGCAACTCAGTGAGACCCTGTCTCTAAATAAATAATACAAAATAGGGCTGGAGATGGGGCTCAGTGGTCAAGTGCCCCTGAGTTGCTTCTTCTAAAGTGCTCCCTGCAATTAGTGACAAATTCATCAAATGTAAGAGTTGAAGGGAACACCATAGAAAGGGCAGAAGAATCAAAATGTAGGTCAAAATACTGCCAAATGCAGCATACTACATGAGTAGTAGGAGACATCAGCACTTCAGAAGGAGCAAACAAGAGYTAAGATCCAGCAGCAGAAGCAAGCAGAACATGAGGAAGGGAAGCACCACGCACAAGTATAGGATAGGCGGCTGGCCTCAGAGTGTGAACTTCAACACATGCAGAAAGTTGCCACACAGAACTCTGAACTGGGGAGGACAACCATGAGAGAAGCATATGGTAGCAGTAAGCAGTGACAAGAATGAAGGGAAGGGGACCAATCAGTTAGGAACCAGGTAACCAAGCCCCTCCCTGAGGAGGAAGACACAGTTCTGGGGAATGGTGTGAAGTGGTAATTGGCAAGTCCATAAAGGAAGTTAATGGACCATTTCCATGTGATGTAAACTAAATCTGCTCTGATACTTATTTCTGAAAGATCTCTTTCTAAAGGTTGCAAAATCTTAAGAGTGAGAAAAGCTGAATAATAAAATTAACCAACATTAATGTTCAGACCAAATTCCTCTATTTTTAACTTCATATTTGTAAAAAAAAGAAAACCTATTCATATGACTCAGGCAGGCTCCATGAGGATTAAATTTTGCCCAACCACAATATGACTGAGCTTAACATGGTTAAAATGATCACATAAACTTTCTAAGGCAAGAACCTGTGTCTTTTCTTTATCTGTTTTAATCTAYAGCTAAAAGGATCGATAATACCCTCACTTATCAGCATTTTATGTGGTCAGGAGAAACTGAATAGAAACTTTCTTGGCTTTCCTTTTTCCTAGAAGAATTTGTGAGAAAGAGGCTAGAGTTGTGGCTCAGTGATAGAGCATTTGCCTAGCATATGTGAGGCTCTGAGTTTGATTCTCAACACAGCATTTAAATAAATGAATAAAACAAAGATCCATCAACATCTAAAAAAATATTTTTAAAAATTTGCAAGATGACAAAATGAAAGAACATTCCCAAACATATGAACTTACTTCATGATTAACAGAAATAGCTAGAACCTGAATTGCTCCCATCTCCTCCCTCTYTATGACCAAATGCATACTTTTTGACAAATACTGTAACAGTAGCTTTGATTTTTCCTCTCCTACTCCCACCTGCTACAAACACCCATTACCGTCTTCTCACATTTCCTAGCAGTTCTGCTAAAAGCACTACCAAGGGCAGAAAGATGTTCACTGACATGCTGACTAGCCAGAGGCAGGGCAGTTGCCTCCAGGTCTCATGAGGATGCTCACTTCATAGTTTCCTGCCATGATGAGTTTAGCAAACTTCCTGGATCCTGCAACGTTACAGCGCTCTCCAATGTTAACAAAGTTGGTGTATGGTCCAATCCTGAAGGGCTCTAGACCTTAAAAGGAGAAGCATTTTGAAAAACTCCTGAAATTACATACAGTTGACATGAGATGAGACAGACAGACATAATTATTTTCAGTGAGAAAGAAGTCACTGTGCCAAAACCATTTGAGCAGTTGGACAGGAGATCCAATGTGGAAACAGGACCACAATCTTCTTAAAGGAGAGTCAAATGCAACAAAGGTTATTTGTTGCATGTGTACCTACAACTGAACTCTCAAAAGAAGTGTTTCAGGGTTATATGCCATAAATATTCCCCAATGAGCTGAATGAACCATACTGTTTCTGAGAAAGAAGAAAAAGTTTTATCATCATATCCATATTTAATCAAGAGTATGGAGCAAAAGCCAAGCAAAAAAAGTTAGAATCAAGGATTATTTCAGGATTTGTGAGAGGTCAAAATGAAGAGCATTCTCAAACATTTAAACTTACTTCATGATTAACAGAAATAGCTAGAACCTACACTGCTACCATCTCATACCTCTTGATGGCCCAAAAGCAGTAGCTTCAATTTTTTGAAGACTCATCCTCTCACTATTCCTGCCTGCTGCAAACATGTTACCAATTACCCATCTTCTTACACTTCATAGAAGTTCTAATAGCACTACCAATAGCTATCGTCCCAGCTACTTAGAAGGCAAAGGCAGAAAGATCACAAATTCAAACCCGGCCTGGGCAATTTGCAAGACCCTATCTCAAAACAAAATTTAAAAAGGGACAGGGATGTAGCTCAGAAGTGCTCCTGGGTTTAATCTCCAGTAACACACACACACATACACCCACGCTATGCCACAGCAGTATAGTCAGACAGACTGAAGCTGGAGAGAACAAGCTCTCTTAATTCCAACATTGTATGTATGCTTGTAACCAGAAAGGCTAAATCAAGCTGTGCAGAAGGACCCAGGTGGCAACCTGGAAGACAGACACCACTGTGGTCGGTCCACCAGTAATGAGCTGACCCAATGCAGACCAGCTGGGCTTTGACACCTATTTCCTTATCTCCTAACAAATGATAACATTTCCCTTGACTCAAGCTAACTGAGGGACACATATCTGACAATGCACATAGACAYATTACACTGAGGTAAAGTGTCCCTACAGAAAAGACTGAGAACTCTTTTGTTTTGCTCATTACTTTTAAAATACTAAGCAATGCAGTCTCATTGGAGGGTTGTAGGCAAGCTCTGGGGACAGAGAGCCCTGAGTTCAATCCACTGACCTGAGTGAACACCTCAGGCAACTTCCCACACAGTCTCTGAGCTCATAAAATAAGCAGTGAAGTATCTGCCTTACACAATTGAAACTGGGTAACAGTGATGAGCACAAAATTAGCACCWGCAATAAGAGCTATCATTAAGAAAATGGTTTTCAAGTTCTGTTCAAAGAATCAATTGAGGAAAAAACAGATATGAGGGAGAGTAAAATAATGAACTAGATGATTACAAAGGAGCTGGGTAATTATAAAACCATTCCAGGTTGTTTGTTTATGTTCTTAGAAGAAAATCGCTTTCCACAATTTCGGCTTATGATTTCCCATCCTGTTTGTAATGATCCCCAGGCTAGGCTCAGGGACCCCTGATCCTTATGTTGACCAGAAGTTTGGAGGACAGGCAAACAGGGCTGCCAACTTTCATATGCTGAAGAGTTCTCATGTGACCTCCCTAACAGCATTTCACACAAAACCTTTGCTTCTGCATGAATGTGAAGGATCTAATACAAAAACAGACCTCTCAATTTTGTAATTTAGAAAAGACTAAGTTAAAAAGCACATTGATGTCATTCTTGAAGTCTATCTGAAGGTGACTATTAAAAAAATTTAGAAACAGTGCATAAAATTCAAATGGGGAAAAAGGATTATAATTTTTACACATAAATTCTAAAAATAACCACATGTAAATGGCTGTCTCATTCTGACTCTGGCAGAGCTTGGATTCTGTTATGAGACCTTAGCTGAAGTGATGCAGTCTTCAGTTAAGGTGAAACAAACTTTCCTGCCACACCTCCTTCTGTCAAAGCCACCATCAGAAATCATAAACTCTACTTCTGCCCTCATTCTCTGTCATTTGAAGCACACAGAGAAAAAAAGGGCTAAACTGTAGAGGTATGCTTATTGACAAAACTTCATGCTCACTCACTGGGGCTACTTCTGTGCATATGGTCTCACTGAGGAAAAAAAGCCAATATTACTCTTATTGTTACCTGTATTTTTATATCATGTTTTTCAGGACAACAAAAGCAACAAAAATATTTCAATAAAGAGATACTAAATTATAAAATACTATGAAGTATAATTCTTCTTTGTGTTATGCATAGTTTCCTCTTAAAAAAACAACAATAACAACACTTTTTTTTTGTTAAACTTACCATCTAATAATCCAAGAAAGGATTGAGTCATAAATATGAAATTCAAAGTTATTTTAATAGTTCAGAAGAGGATTCTTTTTACTAATATTCCTTGTTTGAATATGAAAATACATGCTGAAAAAGAAGTTGTCTACCTCACAGGATTTCTTGAAACCAAATAATATGAACACATGACTCTTCCCAAATGCTAATCACATGGCAAATAAAAATTACAACAATAAAATTTTCCAGGAAGATGTTGCTGCTGTTACCAAATGTCAGCCTTGGCAGTTTGGAATTTTGAGTCAACTAGTACCATTGTAAGGCTGTGGCAAGGAGTATGTTTTAGAACAGTGTACAGTAGAGACAGGTCCACAGAGTTCTCAGGGTAACCAAGGGCACTCCTGGGCCTTTATTCACTTTTACCCTGAAGGAATGTTCTGTCACCCAACCCCCAGAAATATAAAGCATTCCTCACTAGAATTCATTTAAGCACCAAGAAAAACAGGCACTCTTCCTTGACCTAATAAACAAATTGCTTGGTGAAACAATTCTGTTATTCTACCACTCAGAATAAACATACTAAATACAGCCTACAAATGGTTACTAAAATCATAATCACCACACCTTCATTACTTACCAGATAGTAACATATGTCCTTCAAAAACAGTGGCAGGTGGAACTCTAGGCTTGCAATTTTTCACAGCTTCAGCAATTTCCCTAAGTTAAAAGAGAAAACACTATATTCATTAATTCAGAATAAAATAAATTAAACTAATTTCCAACTAAGAAATCAAGACTACTAACACAACTATGCACATAATGATATACCTACTTCCAAATGTGCAGCAGCAATTATGCCCTTTAGTTCTCTCAGTCCACAGAAAATTAATCTGTGACCCTTCACTTCTATGTGCCTATCCAGCTGGCTATGAACTGGCTGTGCTGTTTCTATTCTCAGAGGCATGAACCTGGAGCTGCATGAGGGTTTGTAAGAAACAAATTATAAACTTCTTCTCCCATCTCCAAACTCACAGATGTCCTTTACTCCAGCAAACCTACACACAAAAATATATCCTTGCTGCCTATTCAACAGTTTAACAACAAAAGGAAGTCTTCAGTTTTGATGAGAAGGTGTACACAGGAGTGGAAAGAATGAGGTCCTGTGGTTCCATTTTTACAATAACACACACATAGTAGGGAGTGTACACACTATTAACACTTCAAATAATTACTCCTCAAAATTTGTTTTAGCTGGCCGGGTGCAGTGGTGCATACCTGTAATCCCAGCAGCTCCACAGGCTGAGGCAGGAGGATCACAAGTTCAAAGCCAGCCTCACCAATGGCCAGATGCTAAGCAACTCAGTGAGAGACTGTCTCTAAATACAAAAATGGGACTGGAGATGTGGCTCAATGGTTGAGTGCCCCTGAGTTCAATCCCTGGTACCCAGGAGGGAAAAATTTATTTTAGCTATTTGCATTCTTTAACCTTATTTGCTTCTAATGAATGTCTTTTTTTTTGGGGGGGGGGTATTGGGATTGAACCAAAGGGGTGCTTTACCACTAAGCTACATCCGTGTCCTTTTTATTTTTTGTTTTAAGACAGGGTCTCACTAAGTTCCTTAGGGCCTTGCTAAGAAGTCCTCACTTTACTGCCCCCTAAATTAATATGTAGACATCTAAGTTACACATCAAATATATATAGACAGATATTAATATACAGATGTAAATATACACACATTCAGAGAGACATTTAAAACAACTCTATTTAAAGAGGAACTGAAAAACAGAAAGAAATTATCTGTGATCCAATGATAACCTATATCAAACTACTACTAGGTTAAAAAAAWTGGGGCTATTGGTGTAGCTCAGCAGAAAAGCACATGGTTAGCATGCAGGAGGCCCTGGTTTTAATCACACACACAAACATACACACACACACAAATCATATTTATTACGAGYTTATCATAGAAGTCAAACAAAGCACATTACTACTAGGCACAGTACATTATATGCATGAAAACAGACTTTAAACAGTGAGATGACTGGCTCAACATATGATCATTCACCACTCCAAAGGAAAACAAACAGTACAAACTATGTTCTATTTCACTGAAATCCAATGTGCTATATGGCATAAAATGGTAAGTAAGTAAACATACATGTGGCCTTGCTCCCATATCACTCCCTTCCTTAACACACTCACTGCCTGGAGTCAGGTGGAGGTACTTCTCTTGAACAAGACACTTGTTGCCTTACTGCTTTTTCCTTCTATGAAGGAATCTAATGGAGGTGTATACTTTCCACAAGAAATACAAGCTGCCTCTCTTTGAGCATTCAAAGACTGTTTAAGGGTATGTTTTGATATCTGGGATTGGTTCTATGATATTCCTGGGGAACATATGGGGGATAGGTAAAATAAGAATAACAAAATTTTGAAAAATCTGGCAACTATTATATAGGTACATGGAAGCTAATTTTTTTTTATTTCTTTACTTTTATTTTAGAATTTTTTCACAATAGTAAGGCCTAATACTTTGCTAAAGCTGCCTTAACAATGTACCACAGACAAGGTGACTTAAACAACAGTTATCTTCTCACAATTTGAAGGATAGGAGGCTCTGATCAGGGTTGGTTTATCCTGAGGCCTCTTCCCATAGCTTGAAGATGAATGTGTTTTACTTATGTCTTCCCTTTGCATGTGCATCTGTGTCCTCTTACTTATAAGGTCACCAACCAAACTGTATCATGGACAGACCCACTCCTTTCACCTTAAGTGACTATCAAAAAGCCCTTTCTTCAAATACAATCACATTCTGAGCTACTGAAGATAGGACTTCAATACACAAATTTGGAGTATATAAATTTAATTGAAAAAACTTAAAATATTTAAAGGTGATTATTACCTGATATGATCTGGTGTTGAACCACAGCATCCGCCAACAATATTGACCAAGCCATCCACTGCAAAGTCCTGCATTCAGGAAAAGTTTCTAAATCCTAAATTCACCAAGACCAATTAAGCATGAAAGCCTTTACTTTCTTCATTTCCTGAATCACTAAGATTGTACCAAAGCAACAGCTAAACATATTTAACTTTAGATACAAAATTTTCACAATCCCTAGATGTAAAAATAAAGTGGAAAATAATTCAGGTATGATGAAATCCCTTATGCCATTTAAAGTACAATGGGAAATTTATTTGCCTTTCTATTGAAATTAAAGATTTTCTTTACACATATGCTGAGTTGAATGAGTGCAAGCTAGATAATGCATTTTCAAATAATACATAAAATGAGTATCAGCTTTTAAATTTAATTTTTAAATAAAAAATTCAGTTGCTCTGTCATACTGGCCACATTTCAACCATTCCAATAAGCACATGTGATTGTGCCTCCATACTGGACAGCATGGGTCTGGAGTTAGATCAGAAGCTGGTGCATAAGAGCCCAGTAAGTAACATAGGAAGTTAAGAACCTGAGAAGTCAAGAGTGCTAGAAAGAGCACCCACACACTGAAATCGTAAGAATTAAGTCAGAAATAGTTTAATAGAAAATGTCAGTGAGCCAGGAGCTAAACACTCAAAGAATGATAGAAAAGAGGCATGGGGGTTAGTAGATGAGTACACTAAGGTGCAATAGTTTATAGTACAGTCTCATGATTCAAAGATGCCAAGAGAGACAAGAATGATGCTGGAGGGGCTGTGGTTGTAGCTCAGTGGTATAGCACTTGCCTGGCATGTGTGAGGCATCGGGTTCAATCCTCAGCACACATTAATTTTTTAAAAAAAGGTATTATGTCCATGTACAACTCTATATATATGTAAAAGGATAGTAGAGATGAGAATGGGGAGCCAGGAGGACACCTACTCCACCCAGAAGTTTTAGGGACATAGGGGGAAAATTCATTACTTGGGAAGGTTGTAGAGGAAGCAACATCTCAGAGAAGAATCAAGCCTCTATCAGTTTGGAGTGGCCTGCACTGGGACTTTTCAAAGAGTCAGCAGTGCCAATCAACAATAAGGATGTTAGTCCTTCCCTATATCTCCACCACCTTAATTAAGAGTAGCTATACTTTCATTATTAATGCCCTGGGATTTCTATAGAGAGAAAATCTGCTTCTAAATATTCTAAAACCAAAAATTCTCTCTCTTTTTTTAAAAAACAAGTGAAAGAGGATCCCTGACCTTGAGGTGCATGGCCATCATGGAAGGTGTTTCATCATAGTCACCAAAAGTGTTGGGAAGACCTGAGAAAGAATATTTCAACCATTACTGAAAACTACCTTAACAAAAGTTACAAAATTTTATATTGATAATTAAATTTTGCTTACCTGTAAAAAGCAAGGAACACATAATATTTACACAGTAAACACAGATACCACAYAAAGAAAAAAAGGTCTAAGAATGTAGCTCAGTGGTAGAGCATTTGACTAGCTCTGAGTTCAATCTAGTACAACCAAAAGAAAAAGAAAAACAAGTCTAAAAACCAAAAACAACCAGTCTCCTTTCAAATAAATTTTCCCAAGTTGACTTTACCCTCTGCTATCCAATTTCCTGTTTTATTTATTATCCTCTTCCATTTATCTTATTCCTGGTGGGAAATACAATTTATTATGCATTTTAAGATGTACATATTTGGAGACGGGAGGCTGCAAAATTATTTTTAGCCCTAAGTAGCTGAGCAGCTCTCAAAAATATTCACAGGGAAATCTGGCTAACCCAGAACAGATCACCAATATTTAACTGGATGTGGTTTGAGAATTATCTACAAATGCCATTGGAATTTTTACACTCAGGAAACTCTAAGAACATCTTTTAGAGAGAAAAGAGGAAACAACAAAGACTCTTCTGCTGCTCATCCACTAAGAGTGAAGAAGAGAAGGGCTCCCTGTCCTCATCTCTGGCAATCTAGTTGGCCATGTCCACATGCAAGCACTGTCACCAAAGGCAAGGTGCTCGTAGCTTATATGACCAGGCTCACTCCCCAAAGTTCTGTCCTACTGTGAGGCTTCAGGCTGGGCCAAACTCTTCCCTCAGGTCGTGAGGGAAACACTGGTCTAGACCCAAATACTATTCATTTGGAAAATAAATCCCTACTGAGCAGCAACTATATACCAAGACCTATGAAACAAACTCTTGAAAAACACACCTGCATTGGGATAACAGAGAACATAYGCTGTCGTACATTTTCCAATGGTTTCAATAAAAGGTCTCATTTCAGCTGCACCCAGAGCACAATTTAATCCAATGCTGAAAAACAATAAGAAGATATTAAAAGCATCATCTTTCATTCAATGTATTTATACATATAAAAGTTATACTAAAGAAGAATAAGCCAAGTGGATAATAAATCTCCAAATTCAAAGCACTTTATTCAGCTACAAAGCCATCTCACTGAGGTTCCATGCAGCATGGAATACTTCTRCCCATAACTCCACCTTCAGATATTTACAGTTAAAGTACCCTGTCTATGGATATGACTCYTTAAATTAGTTTACAGAATGTCTAATGGCATACTATGGGACAGAAATGCCAGAAAAGTACCATTACTAATAAAAATGCAACCTCAAAATAATACTGAAGGAAGGATAAAATGTAAATCTTACAGGTACGAGAAACATGAAATGGGAGGAAAAAACTACCCCATCCTAGAACTCCAGAAAAGCAGAACTTAGTCCCAGCTTCACAAATAGGGTCCCTGCTACCCTGGAATCAGGCCCCTGAGGGCCTCCTGGAATTCAGAAAACAACCATGAAGCTATTGGACCATGTGATGTTTTGTTTTCATATTTTGCCTTTTTTCTTTATTATGATTTCTAAGTACAATGTGGTATACTTGGTTGGATCCTAGAATAGAAAAAGGATATTAGTAAAAAAAAAAAAAAAAAAAAATCTTTAAATCCAAATAAAGTTTGGAGTTTGGTTAATAAATAGTAAGAAACTCAGTTTTCACAAAGTACCTTAGTTAGGTAAGATGCTAATATTAGGGAAAAACAGATGAAGACTATACTAGAATTATCTTTTCTATAAGTCTGAAATTATTTCAATTAAAAAAAAAAGCTTATTTAACAATAAGTACTCAGGGGAAAGAAAAAAAACCATCAGCTAACTAACAATAGAAGGGAACTTCCTCAACTTAATATAGAATATCTATTTTAAAAGCTCCAAATAACATCTAGTTAATAATGAGAATACAGAAGATGTTGCCCCCTAAGATCAAGAACAATGCTATGGGCTGGGATTGTAGCTCAGTGGAAAAGCACTTGCCTAGCATGTGTGAGGCACTCTCAGCACCACATAAAAATAAATATCCGCTCACAGCTAAAAAAAAAWTTTTTTTGAAAAAATAACAATGCTATAATGTCCACTTTCATCTCCTAGTCATCTTTGTACTGGGAACCCTAATACAATAAAAGAAGCAAAATAGAAGGTATACAGAATGACAGATTGGAAAAGAAGAAGTAAAATTGTCTTTGTTCACAGATTGTATAACTGTTTTTGTAGAATTTCCCAATCACTAAAAATTCCTATAACTGATAAGCAAATACACTAATGCTGCAAAATAGAAAGTAGATATACCAAAATCAATTGTTTACCTATATACCAACAATGAGCAACTATAATTTGAAATAGAAAACAAAACCATCACATCAGCACCAAAATAAATTAAATACTTAGGTATATATCTAATAAAATACATATAACATCTCAAAGAGGAAAACTGTAAAATTTTAGTGAAAGAAATAAAACAGATTAAAATCAATGGAAAGATACATTTATGGAGCTGGGATATATAGCTCAGTGGTAGAGCACTTGCCTAGGATGCCTCAGGCCCAGGGTTCAATCCCCAGCATTGGAAAAAAAAAAAAAAAAGGATACTACATATATAAATAGGAAGATTCAACATTGTGAGTATGTCAATTCTCTCAAGTTGATCTATATTTACACTATCCAAATCAAAATCCCAGCAGTTATTTTATGGATATCAACCAATTGATTCTAATATCTATACACAGAGRCAAAAGACCCAGCCCCAAAACTGAAACAGCAGAGAACTTACACCACCTGTCTTCAAAACTGACTAAAAAGCCTAAGTAATCAGGACAGGGTGGTGTTGGTGAAAGAAAAAACAAAGAGGTCAATGGAACAGACTAGAACACCTAGAAAAATCTCATACAAAAARTATCAACTGATCTTTTTAAAAAATTTTTTTTAGTTGTTGTTGGACCTCTATTTTATTCATTTATTATTTATATGTGGTGCTGAGATTTGAACCCAGTGCCTCAACATGCTAGACAAGTAGTCTGTTACTGAGCTACAACCCCAGCCCTCAATCGATCTTTGACAAAGGAGCAAAGACAATACAAAAAAGAAATCAATCTTTTCAAGAAGTGGAGCTGGAACAACTGAACATCCATTTTTAAAAAAATTTGGGCTGGGGCTCAGCAGCAGCGCACTTGCCTGGCATGTGTGAAGCACTGGGTTCATTTCACAGCACTGCATATAAATAAATAAAATAAAGGTCTATCAACAACTAAAAAAATAAAAAATAAAAAATACTGAATCTTGCCAGGCACCATGGCACACATCTGAATTCTGACAACTCAGGATGCTGAGGCAGGAGTATCACAAATTTGAACCCAGACTGGCTTAACAAGACCCTCAGCAACATAGTGAGACCCTGTTTCAAAACTGAAAGAAGAAAAAAGGGGACACTAGGGACATTGCTCAGTGCTTAAGTACCCTAGGTTCAATCCCTGGTACAAAAAAAAAAAAAAAAATAGAATTCTGGATAATACCAGAGAAAATCTAGGTGACCATGGGTTTGGCAAAAAGTTTTCAGATAAAACATCAAAAGCAGAATCCATAACAGAAAAAAACTTTAAGCTGAACTTCCCTAAAATGAAAAACTGCTCAGTAGTTAGAAGACACTATGTTAACAGCATGAAAAGATGGCCATGTGTGGTGGCACATACCTATAATGCCAGCAACTCGGGAGGCTAAGGCAGAAGGAACTGCAAGTTCAAGACCAGATTCAGCAACTTAGCAAGACCTTGTCTCAAATCAAAAATAAAAAGAACTGGAATGTAACTCAGTGGTACAGTACCCCTGGATTCAATTCCCAGTACCACAAAAGAAAAAAAAAAAAAGGTGGGGGGTTATGGCTCAGTGGTAGAGCACTTGCCTAGCACAAGTGAGGCACTAGGTTTGATCCTCAGCACCACATAAAAATAAAGGCATTGTGTCCACCTACAACTACAAAAAAAAAAAAAAAAGGTATCTAAAAACTTTTTTAAAAAAAGAAACACAAACAAGAAATGAAGACAAACCACAGACTAGGAAGAAAATATTTGCAAAACATACCTGATTAAGAACTGGTACTCAAAATAGATAAAGAACTTTTGAAACACTAAAAA